TGAGTATTCTCTGACATTCTAACTTTTGTCAGTTTGAAAGAATGGGGTAGAAGTTGTGTTAGTTTGCATTTCACTGTTGGTGAGATCTCACATACTTACTAGTCATTTACGTTTTCTGTTCAGTGAATTGCCTATTTATATCCTTTGCCCAGCTCTTTAGTTTCCCATCATTGTTGTTATTGATTTGCAGAAATTCCTTATAGTTTTTAAATCTATTCCTCTGTTGTTTTAGAGATTTGCAATGAAATGACTTTTCTCAGTTTCTCATGTATGTGCCAATCCAGATTATAGTGCTCCTTTTTGACCAGAGATCTTTAATTTTAATGCAGACAAAGCAATATTCGATAGAACAATACTGCAAGATAATGTTCAGATGTTAAAGTCTGGGTGTATCTGACAGTTTGGGAAGTATTTGTTAGTTTTTGGTAGCTGATATCTCATAAAAAGCTTTAAACATATGTAGTTGGTGATTTTAGCTTTAAAGGTAGAAGGAACATATGTGAGTTGGCTTTTTCTCATCCCCTCCTGCCCGTTCAAATAACGAAAATGTTGACCTTCCTTGAGATGTGAAAATAGTAGCAGTGAAACATAAAATGATGTGGTAAGATTCATTAGCTTACAAATAATAAAATATCTAAAAATTTGATATTTAACCTGCTTAGAATTCTAAAAGCAACCTACAAGTATTTAAAAAAAACAAACCCACTTTAGATTTAAAGCTTTCAAATGCCTTCCTTCAAGCAGAACTTAGCATATATGCTCACATCACTTTTGACATTTACAGATGATGTTCTTTTAAGTTTTGATTATGATGAAATGAATATTTTACCCATATTAAGAATGTATATTTTAATTGTGACTTAGTACTTCAGAATCGTTTGGTTGTTGTCGCTAGATTAGAGTGCTTGGAACGTTTTAGCATGCCAGCTCAGAAAAGTGCAGTGAACGTGCAAAGTAGTGATACTACCACAGTTTGTCATTTCCTTCTTGTATGGTTTATATAACCTAATTTCTAGACCATATAGAACACGTCTACACACTGATCTGCTCTGTTTAGTGGTCAAGATCTTTCTACACATCAGAGCACATCCACATAAATGAAGCAGTAAGGTGTCACACGTTGCCACAAAACTTTAAGCAAGTTAGGGAATTTTTCATGTATCATTTATGATTTTAGGATTATCATCATCAGAGCTTAGTCTAGGGTCATAAGGGTCTGTAATCTGAAAAACAAGCATAAGCTGCCAACTTCTCATTTTTCTGAAAATCAGTGGACTTGAACTTGGGGCTTCCATCCTATTTTTTCTCTCCTAACAATTATTCCTACAGGAAAGTTTGGGAATACACAGAATCATTGTCTTATTGACAGTTAAAAACAACAACAAAAAGACATCTGAAAATGCATACAAGGGGAAGCTTCCTTTATTAGGCAGATTACCACTAGATCCCCAAAGATCACCACAGCCCCCGACCCTCGCCATTTATGTCTTTGACTTTCCAGCCCCTTCTTATCTCAATAGAAAACAGAAAAGTTGAAAATAAAGTCCATTAGAATTGATATTCCAGGCATAGATACCTGTTCCTTTATGCCTGGGATATGTTCCCGTTTTATAATACTTTACATTTACCTGCCTTTCTACGTAAGGGAAAAGCTCTCTGCCCTCCATCCTTCCTTGCTTTAGCTTTGGAGTATATAACCACCCAGACGTTGCTGGAAAAGGGAGCTTATGAGCAGGCCAAGTCCAGCCAGATCTTCTGCTTTGTCCTTGTAACAAGGTGATTTTCACGTGAAGTTCGAATTACTATCAAGGATGAGTAACAGAACATTATTTTTGTTCCTAAACAGGAATTGTCTGAACCAACAATTATTCTTTTTGAAAGAGAAGACTTCAAAGGAAAAAGGATTGAATTTAGTACAGAAATAGTTAATCTCCAATCCCTAGGATTCAACACGCACATACGCTCTGTTCAGGTGATTGGTGGCATGTAAGTGAGTTACCTACTTGTTTATTCAATAAAATAGATTTTAAAAATTAAGTTTGATCATATTTCTCTTCTCTGTTACCTTAACCAAATTGACGTATAACTCCTTTTTTTCTGTAAGGGTTAATATTTATGTTCCCTCACAGTATACTTTTCCTATTGGGAAGAGCCATGTGTGGGACATCATCTCTTCATCCAGATTTTTAGTTTACTTAAGATAAGGACTCTCAAAGTTCCTAGGCGAACGCTTTGCAATAAATTGAGCACTTCCTTAGCAAGTAGGAAAGAGAACTGATTTTGCTTATCCTTTTGAAAGACCAAGTCCTTTCATTTTGGAGTAAGGGTTGGGATTTTCCTTCAGCTAGGAGTGACTAGCAGATGTTATAGGCAAAATGACTTAATGTCAACATGGGAAGATTTTTCTCAACTTTGAATAATTTTGAAATTAAGATGTAAAAATGAATAAGGACTATCAATGTAATGTGTTTTTACAAAAGTATTTTTCTTTCACTCACCGAAACAGCAGGTATAGTTTGAAGGCATCAAATGGTGGAGAGGACTATAGCTATTTAAAAAACAAATTCGGATTATTAGGGTGATTGATAGAATTTTATGCATGACTTTTTTTCCCAACAGGTTTAAACTAATATTTTGTTTTTATGATAAAATGACTACGATGATAACATTTTAGAGTTGCAGGGTTAAAAACAGAGAACCTTGATGTAATACATCAACCAGAGAGAAAGATTGCTGTGTTGCTTGCATGCTGGTCTGCGCTGGAACCCAGACTTCAGGTGTGGGTACCAGCATCTCTGTGTGGAAGAGACCTGAGTATCTTTAGTAGTTCTCTGGATTGAGGAAGATTACTCTCATTTTAAATAAAACTTTATTATCTATTTTTATCTAACCCTCATATAGCACCCTGTGTAAGAACTTTACAAGTATTAACCATTTAAATAAAGGTCTATTATTACAACTGAAGATGTTTTATGTAAAGTTCACAGGAAGTACTGGGCTGTCCTGCTAAAAGACTATCTCTATTGAAGAAAAAACTTACCTATTTCTCTTCAAGAGTGGAACTTTTGGGCATAAATACTCATGTACCATGAATTTGCTATTTGTCAAGACATGGGTGCTGTAGCTGTTTTTGATAATAAGGTAGTTTCCTTTTTTTATCCTCCAACATATATTTAAAGTATAAAAAGCTCGGTCTAGGTACTTCCCTGGTGGTGCAGTGGTTAAGAATCCGCCTGCCAATGCAGGGGACATGGGTTCGATCCCTGGTCCAGGAAGATCCCACGTGCCATGGAGCAACTAAGCCTGTGTGCCACAACTACTGAGCCTGCGCTCTAGAGCCCATGAGCCACAACTGCTGAAGCCCGCATGCTGCAACAAGAGAAGCCACCACAATAAGAAGTCTGTGCACCGCAATGAAGAGTAGCCCCCACTCACCGCAACTAGAGAAAGCCCAAGTACAGCAATGAAGACCCAACGCAGCCAAAAATAAAAATAAAAAGCTCAGTCTAAAAATCAAAGTGTTCTGAAAATATAATTGGTGCCCATTGTGAAATGGATATTGCTACTTACTGTGGTTATCTCTTTTTGTTTTCCAGATGGGTTACTTATGAATATGGCAATTACAGGGGTCGACAGTTCCTATTGTCACCAGCAGAAGTGCCTAATTGGTATGAATTCAGTGGCTGTCGCCAAATAGGTTCTCTACGACCTTTTGTTCAGGTACTTTCTTCTTTTACATGCTTTGAATAGACTCTTCTCTGAAATCTTTTTTGTAAATGTAATTAACTTTTTAGTTTCAATTTTAAGTGTGAAATTGGCCTCTCCCCCACCCCACCCCCGAGAATTTCTGAATTTCGGCTGTGTCTCTGGTGCCAGAAGGTTGTGACTGCTTTCAGAAATGTTATTACACCTGACATCAAAACCTGGTATGGGGCTTCCCTGGTGGCGCAGTGGTTGAGAGTCCGCCTGCCGATGCAGGGAACACGGGTTCGTGCCCCGGTCCGGGAAGATCCCACATGCCGCGGAGCGGCTGGGCCCGTGAGTCATGGCCGCTGAGCCTGCGCGTCCGGAGCCTGTGCTCCACAATGGGAGAGGCCACAACAGTGAGAGGCCCGCGTACTGTAAAAAAAACAAAACAAACAAAAAACCTGGTATGTCCCAAGCCCTGGGTTGTCCATAGGCAGGCTCCCAGCCCCAGGCACTTTGAAATTCTGTCAGCCTCTCCTCACTGAGAAAATCCTAAAGCCTCTGAAACTCTCAGATGTAGCAGTTTTCCCGTATCCAGCCTCATCTGGGATTCTGCCCCTGCTACTGATGCTTGTTCAGTGCTTCTGAAGTACAGCTTGTATATGACTATTGCTGGGGTTTTGTCTTCTAGAAACGAATTTATTTCAGACTTCGAAACAAAGCAACAGGGTTATTCATGTCAACCAATGGAAACTTAGAGGATCTGAAGCTTCTCAGAATACAGGCCATGGAGGATGTCGGTGCTGATGATCAGATTTGGATGTATCAAGAAGGATGCTTCAAATGCAGGGTGAGCTTTTTGGATTAGACAAGGGTCTATAATAGCATCTCTCCTCAAGTAGATGCTACTTCATGATTCCTGGAGCATTTTCAGACATAACTTAGAAGGTTTTTCATGAAACTATTTCTTAGTTCTGATAGAACCTGTCTAGGAACCAAATGGGAGGTAAATCTAGCACTGATCCAAGATAGAATCTTTATATCTATACTTGATTTTTATACAGTAATAGAAAAAGCAAGTGTCTGTGTTACCCTCCCCTTTTTCCTTAACCTACTTGTTATAGAAATAAACTTATAAGCCCCATCATTATCAACACAGATCACTCCTGGTTTGTTTCCATTTTGGAGGACCCCACAGACTAGGTTGAAGCGTGAAGAGATAACCACCCTGTGTACAACACAGTCCATTTCCTAATTGTCACACGTTGTAAAATGGAAAATTGCCCATCTCCCTCCTATCACTCCCGCCACAATGCACATTTAAAAGCTGAGTGCTGTAAGATTTTATGAGAGATGCTCACACTTCTATTGTACATACTCATTTTAACTCCTTGATTTTATGGGCTTGACTGTTTGCTCCTGATTTTTTTAATCCTGGTGCCCTGTGAGTCAGCAGAAGGCATTACGGCCTGCTGAAAGGAAGTACAACTTGTTAATTGGGTCTGTTGTGCTTGAGGGAGAATCATCCTTTCAGTAAACAGAAGTACTATTTAGACATGCATAGAAAAAATAGCATGAGAAACAGAAGTAACTAATATAGAGGCATAGAAAAAGCAAACTTCTGCCTTTGAATTATCTTAATTCAAGAAAATGGCATCTTTCAACAATTATTTCTAATGAACATTACAGTGATATTATTTTAACTGAATTTGGTAGGTCAGTGAGAAAAAGGAAAGTGTCCTAGATTATCACAATCCTTTTATCTCAATATATTGTAGAACAGTACACTTTTCATAAGCATCTTCTATAGCAATATGTGTGAATGCCATATGAACATGACTGCCATACCTTATTTATATTACATTAAGGGTAGATTCACTTCATAGAAGGACCCATAAGATCTTTGCATTAGAACACACTCTACTGCATTTATGTTTTCTCTTTTTATACTTGGATAGCATGCCTTTTTAGAAAATTTTAGACATTTCTCATGAAGGAAGACAAGACAAATCAGTAAATGGAATTCCAAGTTTTAAAATGATAAAATGCCCTTTTACCAACTTCAGTGCTACAGCAGGCTTCAAAATTAGAGATGCAGTCATATTCCAGAAGGGTCAGGCTGAGTGGAGTGGATACATCGGGGAGATTAGCTACAGACCCAGCCTCAGATCATGGTGATTTCTGGGGGGAAGTATCATGATGGGCATTTTTAGTGTTCTAAGGAGGCTTCCCTTACTTATAAGACAGAGGGCCTCACAAAGGGCATAAATCTCTTAACAATGGACAAGAATTGAGAACTTTCTATCACAGGTTATCTGAAATGAAGGGCATAAATATTTGTTTGATCCCAGTTACCATGGCTAAAAGCTGAAATTCCTCATGTGGGGTATAAATGAAGCTAGGAACTAAGATAACTTTAAAAATCAGCTCACACAGGAAATTGCTTACAATGGTAGCTGAATGTATATCCACCCATGGCTACGATACCTTGTCTTTTCCACTGAGCAGATAGCAGAAGACTGCTGCCTGACCATCGTGGGGAACCTAGTAACCTCTGGCTCTAAACTGGGCCTGGCACTCGAACAGAACATCGACAGTCAGTTCTGGAGCATGAAGTCTGACGGCAGGATCTATAGCAAGCTGAAGCCACATTTAGTTTTAGATATCAAAGGTAAGGATCGTCTCCTTTATTTTCTTTGTTGTGTCTTCTTTAGTTAACTAAAAAGCTCTTTTTACTTTTGAAAATGATGCATGTACTATTATTAATAGCAAGTGATCCCTTACTACGTGCCAGCCTCAATGCTATACACTGTATATACGTTATCTCACGTGATCTTCACAGCAGCCCCAAGAGGCCTGTGTTATCCCTCCTCCCCCCACTTTACAGCCTCCAAACTGAGGCTCAGAGGAGTTAATCAGTTTGGCCACAATCTCACACCCATTAAGTGCTGAGGTGGAATCCGGACATGGGCGGACTTTAAACCATTTATTATAACAATGTTAGACTAAAATTCACAAGTTAAAAGGCTATGACCTCAGTCTGTAGAGTTGATAATTCTCAGGTACACTCATGTAAACTTTCATTGTAAAGATCTAAGACTGAAAAGGAATTAAAACAAACAACATAGCCAAAAAGATTTCAACTGAACATTTGTTCAGTGAAGTTAATCCAGAGCAAACCGATTGATGGTGCTTGGGGAAGAACAAATACATTTAGGCCAGGGGTTTCCAAACTTTATCTGCATGAGAATCCCCTGGAGGGCTTGTTAAAAAACACAGATTGCTGGGTTCCACCCTCAGAGGTTCTGATTCAGTAGGTCTGGGGTAGGGCCCAAGAATCTGCATGTCTAACAAGTTCCCAGGTAATGCCCATGCTGCCTGTCTACGAGAACTACTGACAATAATTTTAAAACAACATAAAGCAAAAAAAAACTGACCTCAAGTAGACATGGGAATTCAGTGAACCTTTGTTGCTATAGACAAGCAGATGACGATGGTGTGTTTTATTCATGTCATATGGGATAATTTTGCTTCAAATTATTAATGGAGACTTTCTGTCCCCTATCAGGAAACCAGTGTGGTTATGTTCGTCAGTTTAGTGGAACCGTACTATACCACACACCACTTTAAATCACGGCTAGAAAGTTGGCTCAGTTTTACCTGAGTCAGGGTTCTAGGCCAAAGCTGTCATTAAAAATTAAGATAGAGTGGTAAAGAAACAGCTGCAACCTGGTTTTAAAATAAATTTTGTGGAAGATGGAGAATAAGCCTGAACATTTCCATCAGGGGCTTTGGGGACTGCCCCTGGAGAAAAGTGGCCGTCACTTCTGATCTGCAGGTGGGGAGAGTGGCCAAGCCACCTAACAATGGGATTCGAATTTACAAAGAATCTGAGGAACAGAAAGGTGCTCAGAGGCAAAGGCAGGGCACTACATGTAGGGAGCACCACTAAGCAATATCTAACTCCAGGCTGGATGGGGCCCAAAGTCGTACAGTGTATAAAGTACAAGCAGGAGACAAATGCATTGTAGGCTGGCACGACAGATCTGTCAATGTGTACACAAGTAAGATACCCATTGTATAGATGATCCACCGGAGGTTCAGACTGTTAAGAGTCACTATCATTTTATTCTTATTTTGAACAACGTGTTAAACTGGAGCTCCTCAGTCTATACAAGATAGAGTTTCCAAACCTCCAGAGAAGCCAAAGGAATGTGACTAGACTGAATTGGAAACATGGATTTTGGGGAAAATACGGACTCATGTTTCTTACAGATGTGATCAGCTTCCTATGTCCAGGGTTAAGGTCACTGTAATCTTTACGAGCTAGTCTCTTAGAGCATTCCTTTTATTCTTTCAACATGTATTTATGGGGTACCCAATATGTGACAGGCTCTGTGCCACACACTGGGGGTATCAAACTTAAAGGAAAAAGAAAAAGACAGTACCTTGGCTTCAGAGCGCTTACATTCTGGAAGCTCCAAGGATATGGGATTTTCCCCCACTTGCTACCCTGGCAGTTGACCAGGAGTAAGGATTCCTGGCTTTCTAGTCTTCGACTCTGAAAAGGACTGTGGGACTTCAGGAGCCTCCTCCTTAGGGCTTCGCTTGAAAGCTCCAAGATCACTTCCTAAAATGCAATATAAATTAGTCCAGTGCCTTTGGAATAAGGCTACTGTTCTGTATGTTTGTGAACTCTCAGTATATCGAGTATGGTAGCTACAGTAATCACTTGTTAAACTAGTTTAAATGTCTCAGAATGTGGGAGAATGATGCCATCTTGTGGACAAGAGAGAGTAGGGCCACACATCCCACATACTGTGCAAGGGGGATAGAAATACATCCCTCAACAGGAGACTGTGACTTTCACTGGCTACAACTGTTGACCATTTGTTACCTACTAATATTACCATAAGGTTTATTTCTTTTAACTTATCTCCTGGTGTTTTGGTAGACATCCGTGTATTATTCCAGACCAAAGACATTATAACAACAGTGTAAGCTGGTTCACACTCACTTTAAAAAAGTCTGTGAGGATTTTAATCCTCTCCAAAGGCAAAGAATGAATCAGATTATTTCTCAAGAACTTTCTAGTCATCATGACTCTAATTAGAATTATGATGTAATATACACAGAAAGTATGTTTAAGATACTATAATCTTGAAGAATGAAAAAAGACATTGTGACCTTAAGATAATATTTGCTGAAATCTCAGTGGAGTGGAGTGTGTTGTGTCTCAGTGGAGATGGTGGGGTTTGTGGTGGTGGTGACTTTTTTCCCCAGACTTAAGCATAAAATGCCCAGGGCACCTTGCCTTTGTATTCTATACCTAGCTGTGCAGAGGCTCTTAGTTATCATGATGATTAACCAATTTCTTAGAAGAGGGGCATGCATAAGAGATGATTTCATCCCTATCAAAATCTATTGTGTAAGTTTTCAGACCTTTTGGATGTTTTGTAAATGCTTTAAAAGAGAATACGAACATTTAATTCCTCTTGGCCTGAGGCTGCAGTATGATTTCAATACCAGTCGCACTTACCCTGCAGCGAGTTGAACAGATTTTAATTTTGATGGAGTCCTTGGTGCTATGACGTTGGTACAGAGGCTTATGCTGAAAAGGATAAGGTATCTGTTTACTCCACACTGGAAAAAACAATCACATGACCCTTTCTTTTGTTAATGATACGTCTCCATTGAAAGAAGAGGCCACGAGGCTAAAGAATCTGAAATATCTAGTAGGCACCCTTGGAAAAAAATATTCTGGTGAAAGGGAAACCATACTAGCTTTACAGTCTGATGGAACGCAGCATGTTAAATGCTATGAATTTTTATACACCACAGCCTGTGGGTTCCCAGAAGTGGGAGTGCTGCCCTGCCTATACTTCTGGGTGTCACTCAGACCTCCCCTTTGACCTAATACAACTATTTTTCATTGTTCATGCAAAATTTGTTCCGATGACTATTCTACTCAGGTATTCTTCTCAGGCCTGCCTGCTTATTTTGCTGGTATCTGAAATCCACAATCCCACCACTGAATATTTGTCACAATCTCTTTACTCCTTTTCCCATTTCTAGATTCTGCCCCCGCCCCCCGCCGGTGCCGTATGATGGGGCTTTAACACATCGCCCCCCAGAGGCGGGAGCCTCTCAGCCCTCCGTGCGTTTCTGGGCTTTCCTGCCTGCTTTGTCTCCTCGAGGCACATAGTCTTACACTTTGCTTGCTCTTGTTACAGTGGTGTTGTGATAAACTGTGTCTGCTACAGCCTCTTCACGTGGGCATGTTTCCTTCTATCGTTTTCCTCTTCTGTCTTTCAGGGGGTACACAGTATGATCAAAATCACCTTATCCTCAACAGTGTCAGCAAAGAGAAGTCAACGCAAGTGTGGGAAGCCATGGTCCTATAGACCTGAATTAAAGAATGCAGGAGGAGTATTTCTGGAGGTCTTTCAGCTACCTTATTTAAACACACACAAAAAAAGAAAAAACAAGGGCTGCAGACAGAAGCACCAAGAAGCAAGTGGACCTGCTCCTTCAACAGCTCTAAATTCTCTCTTGAATCACACCGCCGTGGCCAGGACGACCACTCATCTTCTCAAAAGACTGTAATCGTTTTAAACCAGTCATTTATCCTCCTCTTGTTTCATCCCTTTCATTTCTTTTCAGTAGCTGCTTAAACAGGTTGTCTTAGCAGCAAGACTATGTACAGTTTAAATTATATCCAAAGATAGAGAACAAGAACAAACTTACCGACCTTGCAGACCTACAAGTCCTGTACACTTTAAAGGGAAGGACAGAAGCTCAAGTTTGTGTGGTAGGAGACTGTTCAGCATCTGAGAAGAAATAATTTATTAGGCCTGTAATTTTGGTCCTTGATCTTCTGATTTCTGGACTTAGTAATTATGCCGTACAGCAAAGTGGGGAAAGCCTTATCTAGTCAGACCTACCTTAAGCAACTAAGTATAAACAAAATGTTTCTGTTCATATTAAAAATTAGGGGACTTCCCTGGGGGCACGGTGGTTAAGAATCTGCCTGCCAATGCAGGGGACACGGGTTCGAGCCCTGGTCCAGGAAGATCCCACGTGATGCAGAGTGGCTGAGCCCGTGAGGTACAACTACTGAGCCTGCATGACACAGCTCCTGAAGCCCGTGCGCCTAGAGCCCGTGCTCCGCAACAAGAGAAGCCACTGCAATGAGAAGCCCACACACCGCAACGAAGAGTAGCCCCTGCTCGCCGCAACTAGAGAAAGCCTATGCACAGCAGCAAAGACCCAACACAGCCAAAAATATATTTTAAAAAAATTAGTAAATTTACAAAGATAGCATGTCCATGTCTGCTAACATTTATTAGCAGGATCTGGATTATTTTAACCCACTCTAGAATGTCACATGTGAGTGTTGTTTAGTGCTTTTCTTGCAGATGCTACTGAAACAGTATTACCATGACCTAATTTATGAGCCCATCCTCATCTACAGGTAGTTCTGAAGCAGCGTTACGCAGGCCTTTGCTAAACTCAGGTCTTTTAGCCCAATTTCCTGCCCCCCTGTCCAGCTGCACTGGCACGGGGCTGCCTTCCCTGTGAGGCTCCACAGCCCCGCACCTGCTGTGACTGCTGGGGGACAGCCTCAGGCCATGTACTTCTGGGAGCAGAAACGGGAGGTGTGGGAGGCTCAAGAGGATGACCAGCAATTCTCTCCAGAAAGCGAAAGAAAGGAGACTGAAGCAATCCTAGTTGGCCAGATCTCAGATCTGAGAACCCTAAGACGCAGCAGGTATTTCAGTGGACATTGAAAATATTTAGCTGCTGATTGTACACTCCCTGGCCTCAGTGCAAAACTGCTGAACATTCCTTGAATACACGCTTCCTCTTTTTGTCCTCATGTCGTTGTCCTCGTCACTGAACACTGGTGCTTGGAAGAACAAATCTTGTTTCCTTTTCAGCTACTCCGTATGTTTCCAGTTGTAAAATGTTAATCCTCTGGAGCCTGTGGTGGGCAGTGGCGGCCATCAGAGTAGCTTACCTTCAGTTTTAAGATGTTCGCACACGTCCGGCAGCAGCCGCCACGGTCTTGTTCTTGGGGGCACAGCTCTGGCCTTAGGCCTTTGTGTGTCTCACTGCGGTAAGGTGGGGTAAGACTGTCTAGTCTGTGTTGAATTCATCTCTTGAATAAACTTGTTTCTGGTTAACCGTGTTGATGAAATCTGAGAGAGTCCATTCTAGCCCTCGTAACACTTCAAAGAGGGTCAGCAGGCAGATTAGAAACAAATGTCTGATCTGGACAAGGTGGGTTTCAGAGCTGCTAGAATAACAGCAGGGGGAGATTTTTGACTACCCTCTTTCCAGACTCAGTGGTGAAGGGGCACACTCCACTTTTCTGAGTGGACATGAGGGTAAGTGAGGTCGTCCCTCGAGAGATGCCCCTCACTACCACTGGGAGGCCTCAAAGAGAAAGAGCTGAGGTTGAATTCAGAGAAGTCAAAAGTGGCTTATTCACACCTGGAAAAACATCTTGCTTTTGAGGTAAATTTGTACTGGTGAGAACAGCAATTCTAGAGAAAAACCCTCATGCAACACTACAAATGAGTGTCTATCAATCAGGAAGAAACCAAGTAGAAGGCTACTCAGACAGGTCTACGTCAGAAGCCAAATGATAGCAGCTGAGCTGCAGTAATGAGGGGATCGTGGCAGGAACTGGACACTTACCGTCAATGATCAGAGGGCACAGACTAGAGACTCAAAAGCCGCAACGGGTTTATTGGCGAGATACCTAAATGCAAGCATTTCAGGTCAAACTGGAGAACTCTGGTCCCCAATGGAATGGTGGTAATTTCCACGGAAAAGTCCCCAGAGAAGCACGTTTCAGTTGCCGAAAGAGGACTAGCCTTATGCAAAAAAGTAAGTGTTTTAAAAAGTTACAAACTTTACATCACATTTCATTTTCTAAAAGCGTAAACAACCAAATCGCTGGCGAGATTTTTACATATGACCCTAAGAGATTCAGAACTCTGAGGGCTGTTATGACCGCACACTGGAGCAGATGGAATAAAAACCAAAGGAAACTTTGGCCAGTGGGAAAAGTGCTCACTATGACCCTAAGAAGGAATTAGCTTTAAGTAAGCTCTTCATGCTGCCATCCCTCCACATGCTGAAAGTTCTAATCTCTCACAATTACTAACATGATAAAACAAACAGAGTTTGAGCTACTGGAACAGAAGGTGCCGCCACAATTTGCAAATCTGCTGTGAAAGAACAGCTTGAAAAAACAATAGGCAATTTTCAGCAACTTTATAGACAAGTCCAAGTGCAGAGATGTTCATATCTTGTCCCTGCTTACGTGTGTATCCCCTGCGCTTGGCATGGAGGAGCTCGGCGGACAGTGTGCGGCCGTGTCGGGGCAGGTGACGCGAGAACGCTCTGGGCAGAGCAGGGTGATGACAGGGTGGGGCTGTGGCTATAAAATCAGTCTCTGCTCAGCTCAGCAGACAGGAAATGACTGGCAGAAACGCGTGCGTGCTAAATTTATTTCATGGAACCTCTAGTCTAAGCTGGAAAGGGACGGCTGGAAAAGAGTCGGGGCCTACAGGCACTCACCAAATAAGAGCCCACAGGCACCGAACTGAGTGTTTATTTAAACGACACTGACGACGGTCTTTCCCCGTGCGTGTCCTCTTTCTACCTTCAGGAAGGCTTCTGGAACTTTAGAAAACGGAAAGGTTTTCTCAATAACTGGCTGAATCTGTAAAACACAAGAAAGGTTGACGAGCAGGTGAGAAGAGCCGTGTGGGTCAAGTCCGGTGACGTCGGTGGTTGGTTACGTCGCGTGCCCAGCCCGGGCGGGCCTCTCTCCGGTCTGCGTGGTGCTCCCGGGTCAGGAACTCAAGGCGGGCCGGCAAGACGGCTGCGCCCTGCCTTCTCCTGCCTCTTCGCGTCTCCAGTGTAAGGGAGCCCAGCCTGACCAGTAACCCTCCTCCGGCTCCACGCCGGGCGCCTCGCTCCCCTGCTCAGGGCCCTTCCACGGCGCCCGAGGCCAGCATCCCAAGGCTACTACCGTTCCAACCTCCACCCTCCGTGGACCCCGCGTTCCCAAAATGGCCTAGCTGCCATTGTCTGAGTGTGGGGTGTGTGCTCCTCTGCGATGTCTGCCGGGCGCCCGGCCCGGCCCCAACCCGAGCCTGCGGTGCGTCCTCTCCTTGAACCACCGCAGAGCCTGTGTGGCCCTCCTCACAGACGGCCTGCTACAGCCCAGTGCCCGTCTCAGCCACGCCATCCTGCGTGGTAAACGCCAAAGAAGGCGTCCCAGGGTTCTCGCTGCGTGTGTCCCCGTGGCCCCTCACAGGCAGTGCACAGAAGAGGGACAGATTGTTTCCATTTGTTGAATGTCTGGCTCGTCTACTCAGTCAAAGCTTAGCGCACCTGTGGGCTAGTCACCTCTTGTATCCGCCCCCCAACACCCAGCACAATGCTAGGCACACAGCAGGAGCTTAATAAGTGTCACTTAGGTGAAAACCAGTAAGATAACTGGGAAGCGAGAGTCTTGCGTGGGCTCTGTGGCCCTTCCCTGGCTGCAGCTGCCCTAGGGGCTTTGCTAAGCCACACAGCAGCTGGGTGGAACTTACAGGAACGCCAGCTCAGCCAGCGCATAAAGGCTTGAGTGCTGCCGGTTCTTTTTACTGTAGTGTTAGTACTGCCAGCAACCTCCTTTGAAACTAGGACCAGTTAGCGCCCTCTCCCTATGCACGAATCCAACTGAACTCATCCTTTTCAAAACTTCAAGCAAAAATCAATAACTATCCACTGGCTCTTTCCACAGGCAGGTGTAAGTTGTCAGAAGGCATAAGCCTACGTCTCGCAACCCTCTCCCTTTACAAGAGGAAGAAGTACGTGCTTTTGTGTTCGCATGCACCCGACAGACCTTGCTCTTGTGTGAATTTCACAGCCCTGCCACCAGAGAGCATCTCGGACTCCAAAAGTTCCCTTCTCCAGAGTTGAAAATTCTTTTGTACCCACAAACCACGATGAGCTCATAGAAGTCACAGCACACACTGTGCTCACTGTGTGCCAGGCACTCTTCTAAGTGCTCTGTATCTTTTACTTCATTTAACCCCTACAACCACCTTATGAGGTAGGTACTATTATTCCCCTTTTACAGATGAATAAATTAAGGCGCAGAGTTAAGTAAGTTGCCCAACGTCCCATAACTGCTAAGCGGTAGAGCAGGATTCAAGCTGGTGCCAGAGTCTGTGCTCTCTCCACTGCGCACTAAGCCTTTCATACATCAGCAGCTGCTTTCCACATCTACTCCTGAAATCTTAAGGGGAGGGAAAGGTAGCCAAGGATTATGAGGATTGATCACAGCCTGCATCTTGGCTGGCCTGCCTCATGCTAACAGACTGCGCCACCTGAGGATCCAGTCTCCAGGCCACCAGGATAGCAGTTGCGTGGTCCATAGGCCACCACTCCCACCTGCACCTGTGGACGACATCACTGATGAATAATCGTGGCACTCTCCAGCAAGCTGAGGGTGACCTCAACCTCCCCCAGCATGGTGGCCGCTGTGAACGGAACAGATCTGAGCTGGCTTGTTAGAGGAAATCAGCTTGCCTTGTCTGGTAAAGGAGTGGAATGCATCCAAGTTGTTCCCTGCATGTCCCACCCAAAACCTCCCGAACCCGTCCCTCTCCTTCAAGCTGCTGGGACACTGCTTTCTGGATGCTGATTACTTGAAAAGGAATCACCTGAATGCATGTTTAAAATGCAGAGTCCTTGGTCTCCAGTTAGAACAACTAAATCAGGATCTCTAGGGGTGGAGGTGAGTTTTCTGCACATCAGGGAGGGAATCACTGCAGCCTTTTGCCTTATGCTTAGGGTTCCTGACTTGTGTCCTGCACATTCACCCACTCCACAGAGACTGTCTGCCCTCTAAGTTTCAGGCACTGACGCAGGGCAGGCACACAAAGCAGGCACCAGAGAGAGACATCGAGAAAAGAAAGGAGGCAGGAACACCCATTCGTTGTCACTGAGCACCGGACACCAGCAGCGCGGCATTACGAGAGGTCACAAGGGAACGGGAATCCACCTGCTCCGCCCAGGATGAGCGGCCCGCCCACCTAGCTCCGCCCACTCTAGAACCTGACCGGAGAGACAGACCCTGAACTGATGACCCAGGCAGCCCACAGCAACGGCACACTTTAATCTGGCTGGTCAGGCCTATTGTGGCGGATAATCCCACAGGGCTGACTGTGGCATAACGGGCATTCAGTTCTTCCCGTAAGTGACAATGAAAAAGAGGCTTTCAATTAACAGGCAGGCAAAAGCCACCGTTGGCTGAATGTATGACAGCAAACAGAGATTAACGGGATAATGAGGCAGTGTCTACACACAGCCTCACGTCAGACCTGGAATGCTTGTTTGCTATGGACAAAGGGATCAGAGCAAAAATCCAGAGAGGGGAAAGAAAGGTTACTCACGGTGAGGTGGGGACATTATGTGATGACACTGCTGTAGTCTGGCCGGCTCAGGGAGTCCTGGTATAAAGCGGCGGGCTTGATACCACACTCGAGGGCGACACGGACGCGCGGGGCACACAGCTGACCGGGAGTCCACGGCGGCAGCGTTCATCCCAGTCTCAGACCCAAATTCAGGCTCTCTGATTGTCCTTTCCCTTCCTAAACAAAGGCTGCACAAAACCAGGCCCCGGGGTTTGGCACCTGCTGCCTGACATCCCTCCCGTGAGAACAGGGACCATGGGAACCTCAACCTCCCTGGTGTGGCCTCAGACGGGCAAGCCTCCCTGCTTCTCAGGCAGAAACCCTCTCAGCACAGGAGCTTCGGAGAGCTGGTGGAGAGAGGATGGCACCCAGGCAGACACGGTGGCCTGCAGAGAGGTTCTCCCTCCATCCCCACTTCCCTGCGCAAATCACAGAACAGTAGAGCTTAAAGCAGGGGAGCCTCTGAGCCAGCCTGTTGGATAGATTAGGAAACTGAAGCGCAGGTGTTTACACGCTAAGTGCAAGGTCAGAGCTCTTAGCAGAGGAGCAGACTTAGGGTCCCAGACACCCGATGTCATCACTGCATGGCATGGGGGTGTTTTGGGGAGGTAAGCCCAAATCTGTCACCTCTTCCCCAGACCCTCAGCCGCAGCCTCCACGGGGCACAGAAACTGATCTCAGAGCGGCGGGGGGGGGGGGGGGCAGAGGCCGATGACAGAGATCCAGGGAGACCTAAAGGCCCCTGGCAATCCCTGTCCTCACGCCTGTGGACGGGCCCCGCGCAGGGCGGCAGGACACAGTGCCAGCACCCCCTCTCAGATAGGCGTGGCCCTGAGCTCTGCCACAGGATCAGTATTTCCTGGGGCGGGACAAAGGGGCAGAAGGGGGCTTAAACCAAGCAGATATGAAGAAGGAAAAGGTGGGCTTTGCTCAGACTTGCTATTTCTGAACTTCCTGGCCCCAGATGGAAAACTCAAGGCTGGAAGATAGGAGGTGAGATTGAGCTGGGGGAGGATACTCTCCAAGGCAGTAAATGCGCATCCCAGGACTTGTCCCGAGGCCCCCCTAAAAACAGGCACTCCTTCTAGCCAGAAGGGGAGGGGAGAAACTCGGCCTATGTTTACCCATAGAAACAATTTTCAGTGGCATCTGAAAACTTCAGTAGCATCAAGGCTGTGAGGTACCTACCACATCTGGCAAGATAACACTCTCATAGTGGTCCCAGGGATTCAGTGCCTAGCCGTTACATTTTTTCTATGGGAGAAAAAATCCAGCTGCAAATAAGGAGTTCAAAGTTTTGGAATACAGTTCATTGCAAAACTAGGGCCTGGCCATCCCAAAGCGGGTCTGGGAAATCATTTGCCTCAGAACTTATTACACTGTCTCTAAAGCTGCACTGTCCAAAATGGTTAACCTCGAGCCACACGGGGCTACTTAAATTAAATTAATCAAAAGTAAATAAAATGAAAAATTGAGTCCTTCAGTTGCACTTTCAAGGGGTCAACAGCCACATATGGCTAGTGGCTACCACACTAGACAATGCAGACAGAGAACATTTCCATCACTGCAGAAAGTTCTAGTGGACAGCACTGCTCAGGATGTAATTCAGCGTGACCAACGCATCTCTCCACGCACTACTGGGCGAAGCAAAGTGCCCACTAGCCCTCACTAACTGTTTTGAATTAAATTCAAATAACTTCCACAGGAACTATTCTGATGCTGGCTAAAATAAATAAACCGAGATACATCATCGTTCAGCCGAGAAGCTTGGCTGGTCACCTAGGATCTTGAATGGACCTGTGGACTCCAAAGGCCTTAGTAAGTACATGAACCACAAGTGCGTACACACGCTCAACAAGATGAAAGGGTATGAAGGAACATCTCCCTCCCATACTTGATCCTCAGCCATCTAGTTCCCCTCCTCAGGGGCAGCAACCAGTATTGCAAGTTTCTTTCATGTCTTTTTTTTTTTTAAGTGTTTTTTTTTAATAGAACTTTATTGGAGTATAATTGCTTCACAATACCATGTTAGTTTCTGTTGCACAACAAAGCGAATCAGCCATATGCACACACATGTCCCCTTATCCCCTCCCACTTGAGCCTCCCTCCCATCCTCCCTATCCCACCCATCTAGGTCATCACAAAGCACCGAGCTGATCTCCCTGTGCTGTGCTGCTGCTTCCCACCAGCCAGCTATTTTACATCCGGTAGGGTATATATGTCCATGCTACTCTCACTTCACCCCAGCTTCGCCCTCCCACCCCATGTCTTCAAGTCCACTCTCTATGTCTACCTCTTTATTCCTGCCCTGCAACTAGGTTCATCAGCACCTTTTTTTTTTTTTTAGATTCCATATATATGCATTAGCATATGGTATTTGTTGTTCTCTCTTACTTCACTCTGTATGACAGACTCTAGGTCCATCCACCTCACTACAAATAACTCAATTTCATTTCTTTTTATGGCTGAGTAATATTCCATTGTATATGTGTGCCCCATGCATTGTGGTAGGCACCCCACCAAAAACAGTTTGCTAAATAGTATAAAAACAGGAAATGTTTATTGTGCTTAGGAGAAAATGCCAATAAACTTCAGGCATAAGGCACAGTGTCAGTAGCAGCCCATTAACCTCATTGTGCTAATTATAAATCATTTTTTTGTTTCACCCTACTGAATCACAAAACGTCTTTGGAATGCCCAAAAAACTGATAATGTTGGGGCCCTGACAAGGAGAATCTCCATGACTAAGGGACAGGAGTCAAAGGAAGAGTCTATGAAATAACTTTTCCTACCTTTTGGATTTTGAATATTACAAATGTATTATTCATTCCAAAGCTTAAAGTATTTTAAGAGTAGCCTCTTCTGGTTCATGGCCTCACACTGTCAAAAAACAACTCCAGCCCCTCTATCGGATACCTGCTAATTAGATTCATTAAGCAGTCAGCCAAAGGTTGGAAGGATTTCAGTGTCCTCGTCCAACTTTACAGTCTTTACTAACCACACAAGGGGTAAGCAGATCTGTTCTGTTATCCTTTCCAACTTCCCAGTGTAGACAGGCAACAACCTCTCACACCCACAAAGAAGCAGGATGCACAGCACAGCTGGCCGCTTCGTGGATCCGGTGTCACATATCAACCGCCATAGTCCCAGAGCGCTTCACTGTCAGAAATGACTCCTGAGCCCAAATAACCCTGGTGAGAAGAGAATCAAAGGCCAGAGGAACATCTCCTCCCTCACCCTTGGAGGAGGACACTTGAAGGGCATCATTATTTCTACCATGTCCTCTTTTAGCCATTCCACCAGTTATCTACCAAATTCAATAGGGACATGTACACAAACACCTCTCTTTGTTGCATAAATAGTAATTTCTAGGTAGAGAGAGCGTCACAATATTTTGAACACAAAAGAGCAATGATAAGCATGTGGACAGTCTGGAGCCAACGTCAGGACAAGTGTGGTGACTTCTGGAGGACGGGGACCTCTCTAATGATGAGGCTGCATCCCCATTCAGCACTGTGCAGAACTATGGGCCATGTTATCTGACGATGGCTCATTTCCTTCCTCCTAGAAATAAAATAAGCATCCCTGTGGGATATGGGGAGATCCCTACAGAGAGGCACACTGCAGCCACAACAAGGCTGAGCTCCTGTCTACCCAGTACACATCAAGACTTAGAAGTCTGAGAAGAGGCAAGCAAACTTGGAACCAAAATATTTGGGAAATAGTAGTGGGCCATTTTCTATCATAAGTTCCTTGGCTGAAATAGAATAAAAAAACTAAATGCACAAAAAGCAGCCAGTAGTTCCTAAAAACATTTTTTTTCCAAACCAAAATGGAAAGATGAGATGGGCCAACAAGGGGCAGGTGCCAACACAAGAAAACCCATTTCAAGGGGCTCTTTCCATATGGCTTAGCAAGGATCACATGGTGTGATGCTAGACTTGCTCCAGACCCTTTCCCTGCCCAGTGTAAAATGACAAGTCAATTTAAGCTGAAGTCCTAGATCAGCTTCAAGCACGAAGAATGCAGCTTAATGGTGGGGAGGGAAAAGCACAGGACTGGGGTCAGAGGTATGAGTCCTGGTCCCACGTCTACAAATTTGAGCATGTCCCCTTATCCCTTTGAGCCAGTTTTCTCATCTATAAAATGAGAATCATTTTATCTATGACTTCATGCAACCCTCTAGGGTACATAAGCCTCTCCAATCATTTGGAGAAAAAATAATCATTATTATTTATTTTATTTATTTATTTTTTTACTTTTGGCTGAGTTGGGTCTTCGTTGCTGCCCGCGGGCTTTCTCTAGTTGCGATGAGCAGGGCCTACTCTTTGTTGTGGTGCGCGGGCTTCTCATTGTGGTGACTTCTGTTGTTGCAGAGCACAGGCTCTAGGCGCGTGGGCTCGGTAGTTGTGGCGCACGGACTTAGTTGCTCCGCGGCATGTGGGATCTTCCCGGACCAGGGCTCGAACCCATGTCCCCTGCACTGGCAGGCGGGTTCTTAACCAATGCGCCACCAGGGAAGCCCTCCCTTCATTTATAATTCCATATAATTTCTCAATAAAATCACAAATATCAGTACCAGAATATGAGTTTGCCTTCTGGGTTATTCTTCCAGAGGTGGCATGTCTGAGCCGTTAAAACCACGTAAGAAGTTAAATAGGCAGGTGGTAGCTAAGGAGTCTTTCAACTGCCATCAGCCCTAAGAGCCCTTTCGACACCCAAAAGGGGCTGACCAGGCTCCAAGCAGTAGTCCCTCCCCACCAAGTCCGCTGCAGGACAGACTCGAATAGACAGAAACACCAACCAGCTGTCTCTACCAAAATCGCCATCAATCCTGAATCACATCCTGCCCACTGACCCTCTCAGACATACCATTTATTTGCCGACGTTATTACACTGGCCTGGGAACAGGAGACCCAGGGTCCTAACTTCTAGTCCAGTTCTGTTTAGATTCCACAGTGTTTGATCTCCTTGCTCATCTGGAAATCTGCTTGCCTCCAAAGCAGCCTCACCCTCGGACTAAAGAAGCTCAAGAAGCAATTCAGCAGTAAACTCACAAGTGTGTCCCCACCTTTGTGCAACAGTTGCCTTCACGGTGCCTTCTCTTCAGGACCATTATCAAAATAGCAGCAGCCCAGCTGTAGATCCCAGCTCTGCTACCATGTAACCAAGCGTCTTTGGGAAAATCACATAAGCTCTCTGGGCCTGCCTCTCATCTGCAGACCAAAGGGGCTGCGCTAGATGGTGTACGCTCTGTCTCAAATGCAGCAGCCTATGGCTATGATTCCCATGGAGACAGAACCCAAAACACAGCACTTAAACTCGGCGTGTAAGGCAGTGTGGACATCGGCCGAGCCTACCTCTGCGGAGTTCCCATTGACTAGGCTTGCTGGGCAGGTCACCAAAGTGACAAGGGACGCCCTGGCAGTACACTTACCTTTCCCGCATCCACCAGTTCTGCAATGTCGTCTAGATATGGACCACTGGCCATGAAAAAAGCCCAGCGATAATGGACTCCTTGCCAGAAATGCTAAAAAGAAAACAAAACGTGTCAAATATAGGAAAGGATGAAATCTGACAAAACGCAAATTTGGGGAAAAGTATTGCCTGCATGACGAAGACAGACAAACTGCTTTCCCATTTCATGCTGCCACAATGAGCTGTACACCCAGCACCTCAGCACAGTGACTGACAGACAGTGGATGCTCCGTAAATGTTTCATAAATAAGTGAATGAACAGAGATATACCCATGTGAACTCGGGCTTCTCCCCCAGGTTGTGACTGACAAGCAAGTAAGCACAGGAAAGCTCTTCTTAAAATGACAGTCTAATCTTACACACTCAGTTTCTTCCCTAGAACATATGAGGGGCTGAGACCTCTAGACTTTCCCTACCAAGGTTTGAATAAAGCCCTGAGGCACCAGAAAAGAGCCTTCACCTAATCCAAGAATGCTTTAAGGGCAAAAAGGCACCAACATATGATCTTAAACAAGAAATCCAATCAAAACATTTTTTTCTGGCTCCGAGAGGAACTAAGACAGCTTTAAAGACAAAACAAAGCATAAAGTTCCTCACGCATCGTGGCTGAATCTTCCCCTATAGTTATAGCAAGTCCCAAACCACCTAATCTACTGTGGGGCAAAATACCCCCTGGTGAAGACAGGCAAAAATCGTACACCAAGAGGGTTCATGACCACTCTACTGCCATAGCCACTTTGATTATTATTCTTTATGTCGGAGGTAGGGTAGGCCATTATCAAAACAGCAAGTGAGCTGAGGTTCTCAGTGATACCTCAACGACCTGCCCAACTAAACTTCATCAGACGGCAGCGACCCAGAGGCAGGTGGGGGGCCAGCCAGTACCTCCCCGCCGCCTCCCTCCCTGCACCTGCCCCAACTGCTGGGCGAGCTCAGACTTTCTCCACTGAGCTCACCGCACAATCTCAGCATGATGGTCAGCTACCATCACGGCATGAAGCCGGCAGGTGCAGTGGAACTCCCCTGCTACTCCACCTCAGGCCTTGACAGCTGTGTTATTTAGGGCAAGCTACCACTTTCAGCCTGTTTCCCGGCCTGCAGAATGGAGGTACCACCACCCAGCTGACAGGGGTGCTGGAGGGACTAAATGAGAATGTATGTAAGGTGCATGACACATCGAAAATATTTGATAAATATTTACCTAGTGCTGAAGGTAAAGCTTACTGAGGAAAGGCTGGGGCAATGCAAATAGAGTTTAAGATTGCGGAGAGACAAACCCAAGCTGTGGTCGAGGCAGAGCTTCGCAGTGAGTGCGCCAGGAACAGCCTACTGGTTTGGCTGGGTGACCCTTATTGTCTAACCTGGAACAACTTGTAAGAGTTAAAGGGGTCACCACTGATCATTATCTCAGGACCACAGATGTAAATAGAGCCAAGCTCACCCTAGCATAGGTATGACAAGCCCTCGGAGTAGCAGGGCAGAGCCTGGGCTAACGCAAGCTTCCAGGTAGTCTGCTCTTGGCCCAGAGTGGTCTCGATATGCTGTTCAAATACTATCATTTTCTCTGCGTGTCAGAGCATGAAAGAGGTCAGGAAGCATTGGTCTAGACAACTAACTTAAAAACAAACAAACACACACAAAAAAACATTTGAAGGCTTAGGTGGCTAGACACCAGAGGCACTGGGACTGTCCCAAGCTTAGAGCAGGTCCAGTTAATTACAATCACAGAAGACCTGTTCATGTACTTCTCCATAGGGCTGGTTTTACAGACTATAATTAAAACCTTCTGATCACTGTTTAGAGTTTTAAAGAGGAACAGCGGTGGCCATAACTGCCATATCTGTAATTCCTTTACAGCAGGCTGCCCCGTAAAGTGAAACATTTGGTCTGCAACAGCAGAATTTTTATATTCTGCTCTAAGAGGTCTGTGTAGGTTTTCCAGGCCATTACAGGAGAGAGTAAACCAAAGCAGGCAAGCATTACAATGAGGCTTTAACTGTGCACATTCTCAGAAAGACATCAGAAACTACTTAAAAGGTTTTCACGTGAGATTACCACTATCATCTTTCAAGACGGGGGAAAGGGAAACGAAGAGAGCTATGCCTGTCTTACTCTCGGAGGATAGCTCTGAAGCTTAACTTGTAAGAGGTCTCACTGCAATTCAAACTGTGAAATTTTATGGAAAACTTAAACTTATATCTCAAAGCAGGTGGGAAGCCCGAGTTTCATGAAAAGAGAAAGAAGAGACAAAGGACAGCTAAGATTCCTTCCTCCACCACAAAGCGCCCCGTGGACACTGCTGCTGGCTGCCGTCTGAACCAAGTGAAACTAAAGAACCCGGAGCACAGCGCCCGGTTTGTTCACTCCTATCACCCAGGCCCAGCTCCTAAGGACTGAGCAGCAGTCTCCTCCGTCACAGCTCTCCTTCACCACCTCTAAGGACTTAGTACACAGCATTCAAGAGACCAAAGTCCTCAACTTCACCCCTCAAAAGGTTCCAAATTAATTTCGAGAATCAAGGAGAAGCTAAAGAGAATTAGCAAGCCAGTCATCTTGCAAATACATGGCAGTGCTGGCTAGGTCGACGTGACTCACAACCTTTTCACCCTTGAGGGACCTTCTACTGCCTTTTTCCTGAGCCTGGAGTATTTTGTCTAATTAAAAAAAAAGAACAATGTATATTTTCTTGTCACTTATTCCATTTCAACACTGATTCAGATTTTAAACCAATAAGCTATAATTACCGACAGTGCATAACATGAAATTATAAGCCTCTGTCACCACTGTCATGTCAGGTAGAGAGCAGACTCTGGAGCTCTGCTGTCAGTCCTGTACCAGGGCTGATCTGCACTAGTCTTGAAGGCCCACCATGCACGGGATGTGTTCAGTTGGGTGACATAGCTCCTTACGGCCCTGTTAACAAAATCAGGCTGACTAATCAAATCTTTGAAACCCCCAGAATGCCATCAATAGTTAGAGTTTCTGATTCACATGGGACATGTACTGTCAAGACAAGTTGATACAATTCCAGAAGAAGCATGATGGTTCCATTAGTCTTTGTAGGCTCACTGACGGAAGAATACAATTTCCTTCAGTTTCTTTTTAATTAATTAATTAATTTATTTTTTGGCTGAGTTGGGTCTTTGTTGTTGCACGTGGGCTTTCTCTAGTTGCGGTGAGCGGGAGCTACTTTTCATTGCAGTGCACGGGCTTCTCATTGCGGTGGCATCTCTTGTTGCGGAGCACGGGCTCTAGAGCGCAGGCTCAGTAGTTGTGGCGCACAGGCTTAGGTGCTTCACGGCATGTGGAATCTTCCCAGACCAGGGTTCAAACCCGGGTCCCCTGCATTGGCAGGTGGATTTTTAACCACTGTGCCACCAGGGAAGCCCCTTCCTTCAGGCTTTTGAAATTCAAAAAAATTCCCATGGACCTCTAAAGGTCCAAAAGCCCCAGTCTGGGAATCACTGGCATATCCCAGTGTTACTACCATGAAAACAGCCAGCTCTATGCTGTCTTAATGAAGCTTCTGCCTTCATATACAAGAGACTGTATGTATCAAGACAGTGAAACAGAGAGCCATCAGGTGCAGACAAGAAAAAAGCGGAAGGTGTATCAGATGGAATCAGGAGCGGTAATAATAGCTAATAATAAAGGTTAACATTTAACGGGACTTCCCTGGTGGCACAGTGGTTAAGAATCCGCCTGCCAATGCAGGGGACATGGGTTCGAGCCCTGGTCCGGGAAGATCCCACATGCCATGAGCAACTAAGCCCGTGCGCCACAACTACTGAGCCTGCGCTCTAGAGCCCACGAGCCACAACTACTGAGCCCGTGTGCCACAAGTACTGAAGCCTGCGCACTCCACAACAAGAGAAGCCACCGCAATGAGAAGCCCACACGCCACAACGAAGAGTAGCCCCCACTCACCGCAACTAGAGAAAGCCCTCATGCAGCAAAGACCCAACGCACCAAAAATAAATAAATAAATTTTAAAAATAAATAAATAAAGGCTAACATTTAATAAGAACGTCTTGGGTACCAGGCATTGTGCCAAGTTCTTCACATGGGTGGATTATCTCATTTAATCCTTACAACATACAGTAAGGGAGATACACCATTAGCCTCATTTCTCAGGTGAAGATGTTGAGGCTTAGTGACGCTAAGTAACTTGCACGGGACTACACAGCTACCAAGTGGAGGCCAGAATTTGTACCCCGTCAGTACGTGACTCCAGAGCCCGGCTTGCAGCCACTGTGCTGTGCTGGCTCCTTGAGAAAAGAAACTGGCTAGGAGGAAACCAAATTCCAGAAGCCCCAGGCGCCTGCTTGCTCTCACCAACCAAGACTCTCCCCCTACCTTCAATGTCTTAGAGCCCACGGTGACGCCTGTCTGCAACATGCCATCCGCTATGCCCAACCGGTCCATGTTCAGGAGGAAAGGAGTCACCAAAGTCACGTACGTGGCTCCCGACCACTTCTTGAGAAAATTTAGAGCCCATGTTTCGGTGGATCCACCAACACTGTCGAGAATAAAATCAAACCTGGAGAGAAAGAATCAAATCAAAACATCCTGTTCAGCCTTTATCCAGGGCTCCAAGCCGCCTTCACTCCCAGCGCCGGTTAGCTACAGGGTTTGTTTCCGTGACAGCTCGCAGACAGCAGGGGGTGGATGCCCGGACAAAGGAGAAAAGGGCACACCCACTTACTGGATCTCTGGGTTTTCTCCACCGTATGTCAATGTCATTTTTTTAAATCATAAAATCATATTATTTTCAAATACTTTAAGAATGACGTAAACAAGTGGTTTTCAACCAAGGGTGATTTTGGCCCCCAGGAGACATATAAGGCAATGTCTAGAGACATTTTTAGTTGTGACGATTGGGGGAGGCGGTGGGAAGGGGGTACTGGCATCTAGAGGCGAGGGATGATGATAAACATCCTACAACGCACAGAACAGCCCCTCACAACAAAAAATTATCCACCCAAAAGGTCAGTAGTTGAGAAACTAAGGTTGCCAAGGCTGAGAAGCCCTGACTCAAGCTTTATAGAAAACTGCAAAGCTATCCATCCAATGTGAAGTCAAAGTACTCTTTCGTTCACATGAATACTTGAGAGAAAAGTGTATTAGGTTTTGACCCACACAAGTCATTTGCTTGCATTCCCTCCACAATCAGAACTGCTTGTAGAAGCATCCTCTTCACCTTATGGAATTTTCTTCTTTTGGTTTCATGCACATCAACACAAAGCAAAAGAGAAATCAACAGCCTGCTCTCAGTCTTCAGCTCTGCTCTAACATGCCAAAAAAATGCAGTCATGATGGAATGCACAGGAGCTGACAGATATTCAGCTCCTTAAATCTAACCTAAAATTGCTATAATCGCTACATTCTACTTAAAGGGGATAAAACCCAATGAAGCTTTAAAATACTTTAGAAAATAAAGATCTGTTTAGAGAATGCATGCTTACATATTAAGCAAATTAACAGAGGAATTCCTTTTGGTAAGTCCCTTTTCCCTCCTAAATTCATCTAGATGAACGTCAAAGCTTCTAAAACCAGCTTTGGCCAACTTTGTGGCTCTTGAGTTCTTTCATGGGATTAAAGAAGGGCAAATAAAAATTAAAAGATATGAAGTGCAGGAGAATGACCTTACTAGATGACTATTCTCATTAGAAAAGAACAGAAAAATTCTTCTTCATGAGTTTACGTTTCTGCTTAAGTTTCTACTTTTAAGTTCCTATTTCATTCCCAAATTTTGGATAAACAAACACAACGGCACTTAATTTAGATAAAACTTAAGGGCAGCCTGGTATTACAGAACTGGCACTGCCTGCAAAAAGAAGTCCAGAGACCAGGCTCTAGACCCAGCTCTCCCACCAATGATTAACTGGTATGACCCTGAGCATGAAAAAAACTCCTAAATCCTCTGCCCCTTATTTTCTCGACTATAATGCCATAGAGAAGGACTGAAGGATTTCAAAGCCCTTTCCTGCTGTAAAATCCTAGGATTCTAATCCAAAAGGCTGCTGTTTGGAAGGAGGAACACATTTATTCTAGGTGGATTAAGAGGCCAACCTCCAGGCAGAAGTTACAAAGATCAATTTTAACTAAAGCGATCGTTAAAAAAACAAGAGCCTGCATTTGCGAGCTGGTGAGGTCCCCTGACTGGACAAGAGCAAGCAGAAGGGGCAAGGCCGCCGGGCGGAGACTCGGAGGAAGAGAGTGAGGTGCAGCGTGGGAGGCTAGCCTGGGTGCGCTCTCGCCTTCACCCGTCAGGGTCTCTATTCTCTAGCAAAAGGTTCCAGACATGCAAAAAACTCAAGGTGGATGGGGGGAAAGGGTGGGCCTTGGCCTGTCTCTGCTGCTATTCCTAGAAGCAGCAGACGAGAGGTGACTGACCGAAACTACCACTATCTGGAAGCCTCGGTCCTGCCACACAGGCAGGGATCTCCTCAAGGGACGGCGTTAGTCCTCAAATGTGCCGTAGAGCGTGTTCCTGCCACAGGGGCTTTACATTGGGTGTTATCTCCACCTGGAACAAGTGCTCCTCTCCTAGATTCCCTCAACAAGTCATTAAACAAGTATTGACTGTAGGTCACTACACCATCCTGGGGTGGAGGGGGACACAGCAGGGAACAAGACCCCTGCCCCCAACAAAAAGAAGTCCTATCCTCCTGGCTTGCTCCCCAAAGCCTCTGCCCAAATGCCTCACTTAGAGGCATTCTTCAACCACACCATCGCAAACAGCCTCCTCCTTCTAAAACAGCCTTTCTTTCCCCCTTTCGCTGCATCAGTGTTCTTGAGAGCACTAATCACTAGAACACAAGCCCACGAAAGGGGGCAATGTGCCTTGTTCGCCACTGCGTCTTAGCCTGTGCTTAGAACACTGCCGAGCAGGAAGGGACATTCCATAAAGAGCTCCAGGACGATGAGTGGCCGGCTGCTCCCGGCTGTACAGCCAAACATCTACTGTTGGGAGTTGGGGTGCTGGCTGAGAGGCTGGGCTGTGTCAGATAGGGGCTCCCTTTGTCTCCTTTTCTTTCTAACGCATGAAAATATACTTCTACTTAAAGTGGGCAAGAATAATTAGCTTCTGAAAACTAATTTAAAAAAGGAAAAATCCTTGAAATAGAAGCAGTAAAACAGCTTTCCAAATACTCCTCAGGCACGCTCTCCGCTGCAGCTTTGCCTGGGCTGGGTGAAGACCAGATTCCTAAGCACCCCCGTCCCTGCCCGAGCCACAGTCAGGAGGGACAGGGCCTGAGAGAATCCCTGAATCCGCTCTCACTTGGTACACTCCGTCAGACCACAGCCTGGCATTCAGACGCACCGAGAACATCCACGGAGTCCCATTACTGATATCTATACTGCCTTTGCTTCTCTGAAACCCTCATTATGAAGCCAAAACACTAATCATGTATTTCACATACTGCTCTATGTTCTTCTTGTGGTGTCAAATGCCCCTGGAGGGAATACACTTCCAATTTTGCCTTCGGACCTATTACACACGAGCAATAAAAGGAAGTTAACTTAAAAATTGGCAAAAGGGGGCTTCCCTAGTGGCGCAGTGGTTGGGAGTCCGCCTGCCAATGCAGGGGACTCGGGTTCGTGCCCCGGTCCGGGGGGATCCCGCATGCCACGAAGCAGCTGGGCCAGTGGGCCGTGGCCGCTGAGCCTGCGTGTCCGGAGCCTGTGCTCCACGGCAGGGGAGGCCACAGCAGTGGGAGGCCCGCGTGCTGCAAAAAAAAAAATTAGCAAAAGGCTAGGTAGGCAAAATGTCTTTCTCGGTACAAATTACATTCCACGATCGTGCTGTATTAACATCTGGAGTTAAAACAGAAACCAATCTAAATAACCTCTGGAGACATGGAGTGTTTTCGTAGATTCCTGTCTAAGACTCCAACATGACAGTAAGGCCACCCAACCATCTCAGGCTTGCATTATCAGCTGTCTTTGTTCCCACCTTCCCAATATGAACATTGTTTGAATACATACGGCTTTAAATATTTCAACTGCTCTTCCATATTTCCGGATTTGTAATCAATTACATCATCTGCCCCGAGCTTCCTTACAAGTTCACTGGCATCCTGAGAGCAGACTGCTGTCACATGAGCATCCCACGCTTTCATTACCTGCCCAAAAAAGGGAAAGAAAGGGGGGAGGGGAGTAGGAAAACTGAATTAAATAAAAAATAGTTGGCACCACGTATACATATATCAGGTTAATCTCTAGACAATTCTAAGTGCTCTGTCTTAACAAGAGCTAAAGGAAGCTATCTGCCAGAGACTAGTAAAATGATTAAACTTTTGTTCACTAAGAAAAATCCAAGAAATAGATCTCATTTTCCCTGGACGAGACAGTTAGTCGCCTTGCTGTCATGAAGTTATAACCAATCCAATTATAGAAGGGCTCAGTGCCTCACCAGCATCAGAAAAGACAGGAGTTGATGGCCTTAAGCTCAGCATTTTCAATGATGACAAAGGAAAATGGGGAAAAAAAAAAATCATGTCCTCAGAAGATGAATATTTAAAATGCGCCCAAAACATAAAAACGCAACATCTCTTCATTTGCATCTCCAGTAAGTGTTAGTATAATCTTGAGTCAGACAACTGGGTAATCAGGTACTGGGTAATAAATGAAAGGTGCTCTTAAAAAGAGGGGAAGAAGGGACTTCCCTGGTGGTCCAGTGGTAAAGAATCCATCTTGCAATGCAGGGGACACGGGTTTGATCCCTGGTCGGAGAACTAGCAATCCATGTGCCGCGGGGCAACTAGGCCCACGCACAACTGCTGAGTTCGTACACCTCAACAAGAGAGCCCGTGAGCCGCAAACTGCGGAACACACGCGCCACAACTAGAGAGAGAAAACCCACAAGCCACAACTAGAGAGAGGCCCACAAGCCACAACTAGAGAGAGGCCCACACGCCACAACTAGAGAGAAGCCCGCGCTCTGCAAGTAAGACCCACCACAGCCAAAAAAAAAAGAGGGGAAGAAAACATGGCCATTTTACTTTTTTTTTTTTTTTTTTTTTTTTTTTTGCGGTACGCGGGCCTCTCACTGCTGTGGCCTCTCCCGTTGCGGAGCACAGGCTCCGGACGCGCAGGCTCAGCGGCCATGGCTCACGGGCCCAGCCGCTCCGCGGCATGTGGGAACTTCCCGGACCGGGCACGAACCCGTGTCCCCTGCATCAGCAGGCGGACTCTCAACCACTGCGCCACCAGGGAAGCCCCATTTTACTTTTAAAACATGCATCAGGTCCTCTCCTTTGGAGTAAAAAGACCTAAATAAATGGTTTGGAGGATTTAAAATGCAGATACCTTATATTTAAAAAATAATATATTTTAAAATAACTAGACTTAAAAAAAAAGGATTCAGGATTAAGTATCCAGAAAGCATCATGCTCCAAAATTACTACAGTTCCTTTCTATAATGACAATTTGATGGAATTAAAAGGGGGCCATCAGCAGCAGAATTTGAGAACAGTTACTTGAAGTTCACGGAGAAATTTTCAAATGGGCAGTTACAGGTCATAACAAATCAGCTGTTTTCTCACTCCTGTCCTCAATACCAATTCCTGAACTTCCCTAATATAAGTTGCAGAGGTTCACTAGAATATACGAGATCTGTGTTTGTTCTGCTCACTACTGAATCCCCATTCTGTGGTACACACAGATGCTGGAGATCTGTTAAAAACAAAAAACAATAAAGGATTGAAAAACTACTCACAATCTTATCTCTCACTTTTAAAAAGTAATACTGACCAGGGAATATACCCTGGAAATCTGAGGGGAATTAAAACATTTAGGGACTGACATGATATATGATAGTTCAAGTTTATGGGCCACAAACAGAGACACTTGAGTGTAATGACATGTTGCTTTCAACAGCAAGTCCCAAACTAAATTCAAATATGTGAAGAATACGATCCAAGATAACCATCCAGTATCTGTATAAAAAAAGAAACTGTCAAGGAAAAGGGAAACTGTGTTCTAAGCACCTACATTTGTGTTTTCCTTAAACAGTATTGAATCCTCAGGAAGAATCTGTCATATCTTGAAACAGTTCAATGAATTTTTTTCCAAATTTCTAGATTTTCCTCTCCCACTTAGAACTATCTAATATCTTTGCACACTACTAAAAGGTTTTAAAACAGCTTTAGTTGTTTTACTATTTTATGTAAACTAAAACACAAGTATAAGAGACGTCCGTAAGGCAGACACCACTCAGACAGAGACAGCAAGCTGGCTGCCACTCCAAAAGCTCTTCGCTGTGCCCGGTCCCCACACAAGTCACCGTTACTCTGATATTTATAGTAATCACCTCCTTGCATTAAAAAAAGAAAGGTTTTATCACCCATATATGCATTCCCTAGATACCATAGTTTAGGCTTACCTACCTACCTATCGATTTATTTGACTGTGCTGGGTCTTAATTGCAGCGCTCAGGATCTTCGTTGCAGCATGTGGGATCTAGTTCCCTGACCAGGGATCAAACTGGGCCCTCTGCATTGGGAGTGCGGAGTCTTAGCCACTGGACCACCAGGGAAGTCCCTATCCCCTTCACTTTCTTAAAATTTATCTGTGAAAGAATCTAGGCCATGTGACCTGCAGAGTTTTTCCCACTGGAAACTCTGGAATTTCTGATTGCACACCTGGGACAGTTCTACCTGTTACTCTGTCTCTTCTGTTTCAATCCATTTAGCAAGACTATGAATGGTGTCTGGCAAAATTATAGGATGCATAGCATATCTGGTTGTTGCCCTTTTTATTATCTCAGTGGCTGTCTACTGGTGGTTGCAAAATGGTGATATTCTCTCTCCTTTTTTCATTTAGTAGTTGGAATACTTTTATAAAGAAACACCTCTCCTCATATATTAGTTTACTCAGGTGTACAGTTCATATAGAAAAGGCCAATAATTTTTTCCTTTTTTCAGTTTATAAAATAATAAATTGGTTTCCTATCATCTTCCAAAAGTGACTTTTTAAAAAATATCCAAAAGTGATAATAAATTGGTTTCCTATCATCTTCCAAAAGTGACTTTTTTAAAAATATCATCATGAACTCATGGATTTAAACATAGTTGAAGGATTTCAATTCACTGTAATTATCATGATTACTGAATCTCAAATTGTCTTCTTTGACGATCTTTGGGAGTTTCTTCAAGTTGGCTCCCGAGTCTTTTTGACATGGCTCAACTAGTCTTTACTAACTTCCTTGCTATTAATATATTCTAGGCTCATTCTCATACATTTTGCACCCTAGATCTGGAATCTGCCGTTTCTCCAAGGCGCTGCATTTTTTCTGTGTGTAAGCAATATTTCAAGAGACAGCTTTACATACGTACATATACAAAATATCTCTTGAGTTCATATTGATACTTCCAATTCAAATTCCAGACTGTCAAGCTTTTACTTAACCTCTTTTCTGTTACATCTGTATCTCCTTTCCTCCACTCCTAAAACCCTGGTTGTCAAAGACAAAGGGGATGACACAATTAAAATATGCCATAAATACCCAACTGTTCCACTGTATATTACAACATAACAGTCTCTGAATAATAGTACTAATATCACTACCAATATGGTTAATGAAAGGATTCAAATAATTTTAATATATGCTCTCTGTTCCTCCGCTTTTTTAAACACAGCTGTACTGTTTACCTTGTCAGAGCATATGGCTGTTACACACTATACTCTCTTTTTCTAAGCCCTCATTTAGTTTTAGTTCTGCAGATAACTTTATATTTAACATTTACCACCAGTCCTTGGTTCGATGTCTCTCTGGCCATTTTAGTTTTCAGAAGCTCATTTTCTAGTAGATTTCTCAGAAAGGGATCAGAAGAACATATTCCCCAAGTTCTTTCATGTTATTCACAGTTCATATGTGCCCTTTAGTGTTTGGAGCCCAGTTTTGCTGTATATAAAATTCTTAGCATATTCCTTCTCGAGCATCTTAAATATGTTACTCCATCCCTGCTGCCTCCACTAGCATTAAAGCACTGCTGTCAAAAAGTCTGCTGATAATTGAATTTTACTTACATGTCACATGCTCTTTTTTTAAAAAAAATATTTTTTTCTTAAAAAAAAACAACTGGTGTATAAAGCAGAAACTAACACACTATTGTAAAGCAATTATACTATTTAAAAAAAAAAAAAAAAGAATCAGTCCCAAAAGGGAAATGTGAAGGCAGTACTACGGAGAAACTTCCTCTACTTAACCACTTGACTCAATTCTAGATCATAAAGACCAAGTTTGACTTTAATTATCTTTCTTTCCAAGTCCCTTTCATTATATCCTCTGTCAGCCTTGGTTTTCTCATTTGTGAAATAAGAATAGTAATGCCCACCTTATAGTTTTGTCAGAGGATTAGACATTAAAATAATTAAATGCAACCAGGATATTGTATCTAGCATCTAGTGTGTACTCAATAAAACTACTTTCCTCCCCTTGTAAAACAAACAAACAACAAGCAAAAAACCTGGTGGCGCAGCAGTTAAGAATCCGTCTGCCAATGCAGGGGACACGGGTTCGAGCCCTGGTCTGCGAAGATCGCACAGGCCACAGAGCAACTAAGCCCGTGAGCCACAACTACTGAGCCCACACACCACAACTACTGAAGCCCACGCACCCTAGAGCCCGTGCTCTGCAACAAGAGAAGCCACCGCAATGAGAAGCCCGTGCAACAAAGAGTAGCCCCAGCTCGCCGAAACTAGAGAGAGCCCGCACGCAGCAATGAAGAACCAACACAGCCAAAAAAAAAAAAAAAAGAAAAAAAAAAATGTCCCAAGGTTTTTTTTGTTTGTTTCTGCTTTTTCTTTAAGTGCCAGTAATTTTACTAGAGTTCCCCTGGATATTGCTCATTCTGGGTCCATGTTCTTAGATAAGTGCTTTGGTTATTTAATACGTAGTTTCAAATCATTTAACTTCAGGAAAGCAGGGAAGTTTCTTGAATTACTGATTTTAGTATTTGTTCTATCCCCTTGTTTAGGTTTTCTTCTTCAGAAACTCCTATTATCCATACAGCAATCTTCGTTCCTGTCTTCAATATGTGACACTTTCTCTGAATCTGTTTTTATCTCTTCCCTTCTTTCGTAATTTACAATTTTTCCTGTTTACACGTTCTGTTTCTATCAGGCCAGCATTATGTGTTGTGTTTGTTATTGAGTTCCTTCTAGTTTAGTCTTCATTGCTAAATAATTTTTTTTACTTTTTTTTGAGTTTTCCAATTATGATTTATTTCGTTCTTTCATGCTCTCTATCGTATTTTTTTTAGATATATTAATTTGTTTATTTTTAATTTATTTATTTATTTTTGGCTGCATTGGGTCTTTGTTGCTGTGCAGGCTTTCTCTAGTTGCGACGAGCGGGGGCTACTCTTCATTGCCATGCGCAGGCCACTCATTGCGGTGGCTTCTCTTGTTGTGGAGCACAGGCACTAGGCGCACAGGCTTCAGTAGTTGTGGCGCACAGACTCAGTAGTTGTGGCTCATGGTCTCTAGAGCGCAGGCTCAGTGGTTGTGGTGCACGGATTTAGTTGCTCTGTGGCATATAGGATCTTCCTGGACCAGGGCTCGAACCTTCTTAACCACTGCAATACCAGGGAAGCCCTCTATCGTATTTTTGTTTTTTTAGCTTGTTTTTGAAATTGCAGGTTTCATTTTGATGTTTTCCAATGTGTTTTTTCTGTAGATATATTATTCTACCTTGATATTTATCTATTACTCAACTGTTTAATCTTATTAAAATATGTTCATTGTGAAACATAACACACAAAGTGCATGGAATATAAATGTACAGCTTAACAAATTATTATAAAGCAAATACTATTTTAAGCATCACTCAAGATTAAGAACTAGATTAATCTAGTTCCATCCCTGCTGCCTCCACTAGCATTAAAGCACTGCTGTCAAAAAGTCTGCTGATAATTGAATTTTACTCACATGTCACATATTTTATGGCTGAATAATATTGCTTTGTGTATACATACATACATACATACACACACACACACACACACACACACACACACACACATCTCCTTAAGCCAATCATTCAATTGCGGCTTTGATTTGCATTTCCCTAATGACTAATGATGTTGAACATCTTTCCATCGACTTACTATCCATTTTTATATCTTCTTTGAAGAAATGTCTATTCAAGTCCTTTGTTGATTTTTTAACTTGATTGTCTTTTTGTTGTTGAGTTGTGAGAGTTCTCTACATATTCCGGATACCATACCTTTATTAGATAAGTGATTTGTAAATATCTGCTCCCATTCCGTGTGTTGTCTTTTTACTTTCTTGATAGTATCCTTTGATGCACAAAAGTTTTGAATTTAATCAAGTCCAATTCATCTAATTTTTTCTTCTTTTGCTTGTGCTTTTGCTGTCATCTCTAAGAATCTATTGCCAAATCCAATGTATGAAGATTTACTCCTATGTTTCCTTCTAAGAGTTTTATGGTTTTAGCTCTTACATTTAGGTCTTTAACCCCGTTTGAATTAGTTTTCACATATGACATGAGGTAGAGGTCCAACTTCATCCTTTTGCATGTGCATCTAGTTGCCCCAGTACCATTCACCGAAAAGACTATTCTTTCCCCTGTTTAATGGTCTTGCCACCCAGGTAAAAAATCAATTGGCCACTGGGACTTCCCTGGTGGTCCAGTGGTTAAGAATCTGTGCTTCCACTGCAGGGGGGCACGGGTTGGATCCCTGGTTGGGGAACTAAGATCCTACATGCCACATGGTGTGGCCAAAAATAAAATAAAATAAACCTTTAAAAAGTAAATCAACTGACCATAGGTTCATTTCTGGATGCTCTATTCTGTTCCACTGATCTATATATCTACCTTTATGCCAGTACCACTGTTTTGATTACTGTAGTTTTGTAAGTAAGTTTTAAATTAGAGAAGTGTGAGTCCTCCAATTTTGTTCTTTTTCAAGATGGTTTGGCAATTTGGGGTCCCTTGCAATTCCATATGCATTTTAGGTTCAGCTTTTTGCCCATTTATGCAAAAAAAAGGCAGCTGCCGTTTTGATAAGACTGCACTGAATCTGTAGATCACTTTGGGGGAGTATTGTCGTTTCTATACAGCATTTTGGCTATTGCATTTCTACATATATTTTAGAACCAGCTTATCAATTTCTACAGAATTGTAAACTTCCATCCACTTTCACTGCCCATGGTCTTCCTCCTTAAAAGCTTTCCTACATTTGTTACATAGGCCAGCCAGAAACTCACTCATATATTAAACCACTGGAAAGGTTAACACTTCCTTCTACATTAGAAAATTTCCTTCTTAGAAGAGCAAGCTGAAATCACAATGAATGTAATTTCTCTCACCTTTCAAGGAAAAATAGTTCACAATATATAAATTTATAAATTCATGAAAATAATAATCTTCCTATTCACAAGATAAAGAAATTGTCTTACCTGTATAGCAAAAGTACCAACTCCGCCTGAAGCACCCAAGATTAAAACACTGCAATGCAAAAATACTATAACTAATGAAAATATTAAGCCAACATAACTAGATAAACAAACAAGACGTTTTCAACATGTAACTGGCTCACAGATAATCCCCAAAGCAAACAAAATCATTCAGCTTCCCAAGATTCTACTACACAAGGATTTTTTAGGTTCACCAAGAACCTATAAGTGCTTACAGTTAGACATACTATGAACTCTTTGCCAAGAATACAATATACCAAAAATACCAATGATTTGTATTTTTTAAAGTAGCTCAGATGCTGCTTGGTAACATCTGTCTTACAATTTTTCTAGGCTTAAATTACCATTATAGCTTTCTCTATAAGAGGGAGCTTTGGGAGCCTTTTTAGTGTGTTGCAGTATATTCAGTTGCTCTCTAAGAAAAATCACATTCCTGACCACATTCTTGCCAAAGTGGAATAAACGTCTTTTGTTCAGACATGTCCCATCACACTCACCAGCTTTCATAAATGGAAACCAATCTTATCTTCAATTTGGCTTCTCGTTAAGCAGATGAATCTGTTCTGTCAGCACAAACATGCTTGTGCTCCAGGCTTTTACCATGTTTCCTTACTGTATGTAGTATTCCTGCCACTCTAGACCAAGGATGTGCAGCCTGGAGTTTGTGGATGAGTGCTGGTGAGAGCTGTGATGGTGTGAACCCTCTGAAATTGTGAACTGACTGAAATAACACGCAAAGTTTGGTGAGATCATGCATATGTGCATCGGGGAGAAGAAGGATCCAGACTTATCATCAATTTCCCAAAGAAGGCATGATTCAAAAGAAAATCACGAGTCAAGAATCACTGCTTTACATATTCTCACATTTTATTCTGAATTAAGCTAGAGCTCCAGTGAACTGCCTTCCCCAGACTGCACAGATTCAGGTCCTCAGAAAATTGTTTGTACTGAACTGCACTTTGGTGTTCTGTTACCAGTCTAGGCTGAGAGACATTATAAAAAGTGTCCGTTTGATATTTGACACTACATTAGCTAAGGAGATACTGTTGAGAGAATTCTTCCTGAGAATTCTCTTTACGAGTGCCCACAGGAAAAAAACATTTTTCTGAAGACTAAGTTGGTGGCAGTAGCTATGCTTCTATTTATCTGTCACTGCAAATTGTGTAACTGCAGGCTGTGGGTCCCTCTTTGACTTGGCTGCTGGAAAGCGCAGGGAATTTTGTCACCTATCATCAGGTACACCTGGAACATACATTCTGTCTACAATCTTAACCCTAGTTTCATTTTATTTTTTTTTTCTCTCTTACCCAAATCACAGAAGGCTGGTTGTCACCCTTTAGATCTTAGAAGTTATTAGTAATATTTGTAAGCCAGCTATTCCCTTTGAAATTACCACCAAATTACCATCAAATGTAATTAAGGCAAGTCTTTTTGAAAATGATGTTCCTTTTAGAAGTTACTTTTCGTTTCATGGAATTATAAATTGTGAAGAATAAAAGAAACTTGAAAGACCAACTCCTCCAAAATCCTTCAATTCACACATTTAATAGCTTTAATGCTTCCTAAATGGGGGCACGGTGGGGGAGGGGAGAAGCACTAAGACTGCTTCGCAGATACAGCCCAAAATTAGTTCATCCATGGGATACTATACCCTCTTATTTTGGCACATTCTTATAAAATGTAACTAGTCAAACTCTCAGTTAAGTTCTTCACAATCTAATCTTTTTTGCAAATCCGACTTCCTCTATTTCTGGAACAGAACTCTCCACCTGAGCCTCCCTAGTCCCCTCACTCGGAACCCCAAGTCCCATGCACGCTGGCCCACGCCTCAGGCTCTCTAATGCCTTTCACTGCCTGCTGAGGTCTCCCTTCCCTCAAAGGCTCAAATCCCACTTTGCCTGCGCAATACCCTAGAGATAGCCCTGAGCCTGATATCCATGTCCGCATTTGGCATTGGACACATTGTTAACTTTCATTCACATGCTTGCTGCCCAGGCCATTCTTCAAGACTCTGAGGACAGAGACCTCATATTACACCCAGCACCAGCCATACTACCCTGGGCATAGCAGATGCCTGATCAATGTTGCTTGACTTTAAAAATCATCTAGGGACTTCCCTGGTGGCGCAGCGGTTGAGAATCCCCCTGCCAATGCAGGGGACATGGGTTCGATCCCTGGTCCGGGAAGATCCCCCACGCCACAGAGCAACTAAGCCCATGTGCCACAACTACTGAGCCTGCGCTCTAGAGCCCACAAGCCACAACTACTGAGCCCGAGTGCTGCAACTACTGAAGCCCATGTGCCTAGAGCCCGTGCTCCGCAACAAAGAGAAGCCACCGCAATGAGAAGCCTGCACACCGCAACAAAGAGTAGCCCCCGCTCGCCACAACTGGAGAAAGCCCGCACACAGCAACAAAGACCCAATGCAGCAAAAAAAATAATAATTAAATAAATAAAAATAATCGAAATCAGCATTATATCCCACAATTAACAACAATTGCTACTACCCCAAATGAGGGAATCACCTGGCTATTTGAAAGACTGCATTAAAATTTCTTCCAATAAAGAAAAGCTTGAAATGAATTTCTAATTCTCACCCTGAGAATTAAGAGGATACCAAACACAATGGCTGCTTAAGGATGCAATGGCCAGACACATCTCCAACTCATTATTGTCAATTCATAGCTTCCCCATAACTCTTGATTCAAAGCAGTCTCACTCCTCCATATGAAAAAGCAAAAATGTGTTTCTTAGCAGTTCTTGGTGGAAGAGGGAGTGGTTCTGCATTAGCAGCTTCAGTTCCTGATGGTGCCACTTGACGGCGCCCGTGAGTGCAAAACAGGCAAGGAGCAAGCCCAAAGAAGTACTACAGACAGGTCAGTTTGTGAAGCAGCCCTGGGGGCACACCATTCATTCTCTGGTCATGCAAACTCCATGTTTCGTGCAGGTTCAACCAGGGCCTGTACTTTTCTTTAAACAAAGAAAGTCCCCAAAACGGACAGCAGGCAAATATATTTTTCAAGCCAGCAATAAGTCAGGTGGTCCTCCATGGTTTGAAGCCCTATGGCTGAAGGAACTATTCTTGTACTCTTCAAAGCACTTTCAATACAAAGGGAAAATACTGCTATTGCTTACCCCCTGTGGCCATTCACTTCATAGTGGGAATACTTTCTACCCTGCTTGCTATAATGGTCGTGAAATATATTCAAACTTCACCGAAGTAGTAGCCTATTTGTAGAGTGAAGAAAGGTGTACTGCTGTATCTTCTACGTATTGCTTATCGGTTTATAAAGAGTAAGGGCCCAGGAAATACTCTCTTTACAGAAAGCACTATAATTCAAAATTGCCAAGAATTTTAGTCACATTCTTCTCTTACTTCCTAAGTCCACACGCACAGCTTCTTTGGCAGTCAGTGGGAACTGCACTGTGGCAGATGTAAAAATATGAGAGAGGGCTTTCCTGGTGGTGCAGTGGTTAAGAATCCACCTGCCAATGCAGGGGACGTGGGTTCAAGCCCTGGTCCGGGAAGATCCCACGTGCTGCGGAGCAACTAGTTTCCTTTCCATGACTGAGTCACTTTGTGTTTAGCATCTGGGCACCTAAGTCCTCTACAATCACATTTTTCAGTATCACAATCATACGAGACAAGGCATCAACACCCTAATTGCCTTACGCATAAAAAATATAGGAAACATACTACAAAACAGCAGGCGATCCAGAAGTAGGGAATTGCCTTTCAAATTTCTACATTCTGGCTAAGCCCCAGAAATCTCTGAATGCCAGGGCCAGATATCTAGAGACCTGGGATCTAGTCACAACTCTCTCATTAACTGAATCTCTAGGCCTCAGATTCATCAGCTATGAAATGATAATCACAGAGGTGTACTCTAGGTGTTAGTGAATGAGAACTGGCATTTTCAATCTAATTTAAGCTTATATTTAGTTTCTCCACCTTTCTAACGTAGACGTATATGACCTTCACGATTCCCCCCAGACCACATACTTGTAATGGGAAAAAAAAAGTCACAAGAGTAGAGTGCCCTTCATTAAGTCCTAATGGCTCTGAAACAACGCTGATTCCAATATGGCTAAATCTTCCATCAGTAGAAATAAGTGGTCTTTAAAAGATAAGGATGATGCTGAAAATGTATAAACTCATCTTTTAGTTTCACACACTACTTTTAAATCTGGAGGAAAAATGGGTGAAAGATAGCAAAGCGTATCATAATATGCTAAATTTATTCCCTTAAGTGAGAAACTTAATCTGAATAAGGGGAATAGAATTACAAAATAAATCAACCAAACATGACTAAGACAGCCTGGGTTTGTGTGTCCCCTTCTTCTACTCCTCCGTAATTCATGCAGACATTCCCCAATTTACAGAAGAGTTCATGTGTAAATTAGTTGTTCAGAACTTTAAACACATTTTCCCATGAAAACAAAGCTATTTATACATCTTGGCAAGATGCCCAGGGTAGCCCTTTAAAAAGGTTTAGTTAACCCATAATGGACCAAGAACCTTATACACAGTATAACGATGGTTCTGGGGGACATGTACTCAGAATTTCAACCTGGGGTACTGGGAACACATCTCCCCAAATGGGACAGGCAGTGGGAACCATTCCAAGACACTGGTTCCTTCCATCTGGTGGCAACACGAGAATGGATGAGAGAAGTAGCATGGTCAGAGGAGGTTCACCGTGGAAGTGACAGGATTCAGGAAGTACCACCTGAACATAAGGCACCTTAGCAGACTGAATATTTTAAGCTGAAGGAATTCGAGAAACAGCATGTGAGGGAAGGACCCTCTGATCTTCTCCCATGAAGCTGGTCATAAGACCCTCGTGTGAGAGGTGTACGCCCTATACCTGGAGGAAAAGAGCACCTTATCTCCAAGATGGGACACAGTGAGGACTCGGAACGAACAGGCCTTGCTAAGTTTCCTCAGTGTACTACACTTGGCGCATATGTTTGTCCTATCACGTTTTTTTTCGTGACTCTCCACTCTTCATCAAAGCTGGCATAAAAATG